ATCTACCTCATAGGATTGTTAGGAAGGCCAAATGAATAAATTTTGCTGTCTTAGGCAAATAACTTTAAGCTTCTTTATCGATTAAATGGGTTATTTGAAAATTGACAAGCTAAGCCTGTAACAAACCTATCTCACGGCCCTGGAAAGAGCCAACACCAAACACTGTTTTATGCTTGCTGGACTGTAAGCTTTACATAGGGTATCTCATTTAATTCTCACAGCAACTCCCCGAAATCGGTAATATTTACTCCCATCATATTCACTCAGATAACACCAAGCTGAGATATGTAAGTAACTTGCCTTAGATCAGAAAGTTAGCAAATGGTTATGCCTTGAGTCTTAAGTATGTTACAGACACATTTAAAGCGGGGTCTGTGATTGGCCCCTGGCTAGAATAAGCTGTTATAAAAGACTGAGTGTTAAAAACATCATGGAGATTATTCTTAATTTTGTAAAGTGTGATGAAGATATTGGGGTTTCACGGAAGAATATTCCCGTATTTTGGAAAGTAAGCTCAAGCATTTAGATATAAGAGTTCTGATGTCTAATTTCTTTGAAATGATTCAGGAAAATACTTAAGACTTTTTTAAAAACGGGAAATGTTTCAACATTAGGAAAAATATGGCTGAGGGCAAAGCTGCAAATCCATTCTCAGCAAGGTGTGTGTTTCAGAGAAGAGTTTATGAGAGGAACAAAATAGAAAGCTGAATGGCAGCCCGATGGCCCAATGGCTCCTGAGTTACCACTCGCTTGAGAAGGGTTTCTTCATTTCACCTGCAAATTTCCAAACCATTCATAGCCATGATCAAATGCTTTAAAGATACAGACAAAATACATATGATTTTGAAAACTTTTTCCATTGCTATGTACAAAAGACCACTTTCAATAGTTTGATGTTCTTTACTTTTTAAATTTTAAAAATAAATTTGTAGAATTGTAAATCTTAATGTGCATTTCTATCTGAAATGGGATCAAAGAAGGGTTTGTATATTTTCTATATGGAGCTAGTTTTTAGGACCATCAGTGGAAAGAGCAGACAATCTTTCCTGAATTACCATACATTTATTAGAGAGGAGTTTTAAATTGACATGGAAAAGAACATTAGAAGACAAAACATTTTACTATTTTTTAAAATTAAGCACAATTTTACCAGTGGCAAGATTCTAATTTATTGTATTCTGATGCTAAATGCTTAAACAGATGTTTAAATATCTGTATTGTTTAATAAAAACCTTAAATATATACGGACTATCAAGAAAACCTATTTTACCTAAGGCACAAATATACCTCCCTTAGGTCTCCAGTTCGATGTCACCAATTCTCTTTATATGTAACACACCTTGCCTGCTTCCAAAAGGTAGTTGAGGGACCTCAAACATAAAACCGTTAGAAGAGATAATGAAGACCAAAATTCATATGGAGGAGGGGTAAACAAATCTAACAAAAACCTAGACTAATATGGCTACCATAATCAAGTAATAATTTTACCTCTGAGCTTCCAGACAGTGGTAGCAAAATAACAACAAAAAAAGCAATCACAGCAAGCTCTGTAACTCAGAGAGAAACCTTCTTCCTGGCACTAAACATTTAAAAGGAATTTTTCAGATGGGTCATTACATAAGAACATTGAACAATATAATGGACAGTGTCCACAAACGGCAGTTTACAACTCATGCGGCCGTCGTCTTACCTGGCATTTCATGTTTCACGTCAAGGTCATTACATTAAAAGTAATGCCGAGAAGGCCATTTCTGCAGTGGGCTAAGGCACCACAGCTTTCTGATTCTCTAAATGAAACCAGAACCTGTCCTCAAACATCCATTGTCTCAACTGGGCTTCTGACAGCAGTGGGGGCAGCGGGTTTCCGTGCTGAACTGCTCTGAAAGCCTGGCATAGAGAAGATTTATTTCTTGCTGGTGATCCCACCAGAAATCCTTTTGCTTTGGATACCAGATAGAGTAGGATGCAAAGCGGATGTACTGCCATGAAAAGGGAGGGGCCAGGCCAGTACTCCCAAGAGATGGAGCCAAGGAACCCAGTGTAGGGTGGCGGAACCAATCTCCAAGAAGCAGGAAGCCCAGAGAAAGGCTACCGTCCCTCACTGCTACTACTGCTATTTGTGTGTGCAGGGACAAACGAGGAACCATAAAAATACCTGCTTATTAGTCAATTCTGAAGGGGGCAAGGCCCAGCAGCGTATCTCTTCCCCTCCATATTTCAGCCTTACAAGCGCAACTTGTTTTCATTTTACCATTTGAAGATACAGTCTACAAAGGCAAAGCAAAATGTCTAAAATAGAAAAACCAGCAGATGTGATGGCACGGCTGCGACAAGCACACCAGGCAGGATCCTATCCAGCTACGGGTGTCCAGCAGACCATGGGTTACTGCAGTCAAAACTCCCTGGGGACCCACAAGAAGAAGTTCCCTTTCCCCAACACCAACCCTCCCAACCCCCTCCAATCCAGCCTGGCAACAGCAGACGCCAAAGAAGAAACGGGCATTCCAAAAAGAAAAAAAGTAAGTAGATTCTTAGAGTAGAAAACAGCTTTCTGTCACCTGCTGCAAGAGAAGCCCTCCCCGTCGCCCAGCCCTGAGTCACTTCCCCTCTCTGTACTGAGTCTCAATGCTCGCGGGGGCATAAGACCCGGGGCCTCGGAAGCTGGCCACTGGCAGCCCGATGCCCCACAGACACGAGGGGCCCCCCTCCCAGGCGCGTCCCGGCGGCTGCAGACCGCCTCTGTGCGCCCAAGCCGGCGCCGCCGCTACCTTGGCTAATGGCAGCTCTGAATGAAAGGAGCCGAGGCCGGCTCCGGATTTATGAATGTGCAGGGGAGGAGGGGAGGGATATCATGTGACAATAAAGGAGAGCGTCTTATTCACAAAAAAAAGTGCTGGTGGCGGGCACAGCCACTGAGCAGCGGCGGCAGTCGCCGTGCGGTGACCGCTCGGACCGAGGCGGACGACCTCAGGCGCCGGGCGCAGCGGCCCTGCTTCCATTGCACCCGCGACTGGAAACGCCTCGGGCGCGGGTGGGAGAAAGCCAAACCCGACTCGGCGATCGCCAGGCAGGAGAGAGCTGCACCTGGGCCCGGGGCTGGAGAAAGGCACCGTCCAACGGCGGGTGGCAGGTCTGCCCGGGAGCCCCTTAGGCGGAGCGCCCCGAGCATTGTTCCCCGCGGGCCGGGCACGCAAGCCTGTGCACGCGCGCACACACACACGTACACACACACACACCGGCCTGCAGCGCGCTGCCCCGCACGCTCCCGTCCGCCCCCGCCGCACACGACTGGGATCCGCCCCCCGAGCTGCCCCGACCCCGCAGGGCGCCTGTCCCGGGCCATCAGCGCGTGCACACACACTCACACGCGCCGCGGGACCCCTCGGGCGGCTCCAGCTCGCCCGGCGGCGCAAGGACCCGGGCGCACGCAGACCCCCGCGCAGCCAAAGCCCAGTTCTCCTCTCGCTCTGCCGTGTTTTTTATGAATGAAAATGTGGTATGCAAATGAGAGCGATTCAAGAAAACGAAATGGCGGAGCCTGGGCCCCAGTGGGCTCCCGGAGGGACTGCGGGCTAGCGGCGGGGCGAGAGAGTCACAAAGTCAGCATGTAAAAACCCACCGACCCCAGGAAACCGGAGCGGGGGTGTCAGGTCTTCCCCTCCAGCCGCTGAGGACTTCAGGGGGAAGGGGTGTTTGTGAGTCCCTGGAGAGGGAGCGGGGACCGCCCCGAGGTCACCCGCGCGCCCTTGGCCCCCGCAGCGGCCACCAGCCCGCCGACCCAAGGCGCGCCCCTGCCGGCCGCAGCAGTTTTTGCCCCCTCCTCACTTCAACAAGAGGGGAAATCGTGCGTCCCAAACCCCACAGGCCAGCGACTCGCTGCACCCCACGCCAAGTTCACCCAACGAGCGTCCCCGCCCGCGTCCTCAGCCCCGGCCCCCACGCTGTCCCCGCGGGGCACCCTCGTCCCACTCCGCGGCCAAACTTACTCGTCCGGGTGTGTTTCTTCGGTCATTTTCCTGTTCACCTAGACGCCTGTCCCGCGGCGGGCAGCTTTGCTCCCTTCATCTTCCTGTCCGCTCACCCGCCTTCTTCACATCTCCGGAGATCGCCTGATTTGGTTGGGGGGGAGCGGCTAAAGATGAAGGGGGCGCCGCAGAAGGCAGAAGGGGAAGCAGGGCGACCGGAGCGCCGGGCGAGGTTTGGAGGAACGGGTGCAAAGGCAAGCTGCGGGGGCAGTGAGCGCCGTAGCGCCTAGGGGCGAGGCGGGCGGGGACTCCGGGGGCTTGGGAGCGGCGGAGGGGGAGAGATTTGGGCAGGGGACGGCGGTGGGGAGAGGAGGAGAAAAACAAGCGCGCCGTGGAGCGGCGGGGACTGCTGAGAGGAGGAGGACGAGATGGCCGGCCGCGGGTGGGGGCTCGGTCCGGGGTCGCCCCAGGGGGGGGCCGGGCCAATCACGGTTCCGGGGAGCGGTCGGCGGCCGGGGGAGGTGCGCCTGGGAGGCGGTGCAGGGCGCCCCGTCCGAGCCCCATCTCTCGACTCCACCGATTTACTCCATATTGGATTCTCACCGCCGCCAACAGGAGGAGGAAGTAGGGCGGAAGCGATGACGTCTTCCCAGCGGCCAGAGGTGGTGGAGTGCAAAAAGCTTCCTACTTGCGACCGAAAAAAAAAAAGGGAGAGAGAGAAAAAAAAAAAACTTTGTCCCGCCTACTGAGCATGCCCGTCTTCCTTTCCCCCCTCCCTCCGGGCTTCCACTCCGGGAGGAGCCGTGGAGTGGAGTTGTTTGCTCGGCGTCTGCCTGCCTCCGGATCCCCCTCTGTCAGCGCTCCGGGTTTTAAGAAGCCCGAGAGAAGGGAGGAGGCAGGCAGGAGCTGGGGGGACTCGCACACATCTGGCTCCTGTTTGGTTCCCTCCCTCCTTCCAAACCCCTGGATTAAAAATCCTCGGCGGGGGAAGGAGGGGGCGGAGACGGGCAGCTCTGGGGACAGACTACCACCTACCGTGGGGCGGGAGCGGGGAGCGGGGGCGAGGGGGGGCGCAGGTGCCTTTGCCAAGGCTCTGAATGGCAGAGGCTTTTCAGTTTCACGTGAAGCTTGTGATCTTTTTTTGTCTTGGTAGGAGAACGGGCATTTTTAAGGAATCATTATTTGTACATAAAGAAATAAAAGGTAAATCCAACAGCCCAGAGACGCTTGCATTTCAGTAGAAATGGACTTTCTCGGGTTAAAAGGTAAGCCCAAATATATATTTTAAATTATTCAGTAAATCTCTCTCATGTTGGTGGAGGATGGCCCTTGTCCCAGGCCCTTGCAGGCCACAGTTATTGGGCCAGAGGTTGCCAGCCCATGGGCTTTGGCGCAGTGAGACAGGGAGATGGAGAGCTCGCGTAGTCCTCCTCTCCGTCCCCTTTGTGTTGAAATTATTTGTCCTGCCTCGGCGTAGGATCATGGGCACTGGGCAGGGCTGGCTTCCTGGGCGTGCAACCTGCGCAGCTGCATAGAGATCTTCGAGTCATTTGATGCTCTGCTATTGCAGTCTCGGAATTCTTTATAATGTTTGAACAAGGGGCTCCAAATTTTTACTGTGCTGTGGATCCCACAAATCACCTAGCAGTTGGGTATTTCCTTCTGGGGTTTTGCTAGGGGCAAGAGATCGAGTCCCTGCCCCTTCCTGCTCTCCAAGCACAGTAGATTTTCCATCCTCCTGAATGTGTCAAGCAACTACGTAGAGATTAACTAAATAGCAACCATTGAACAAATTAAGAGGAGAAAATATATGCCTCAAGTGAAGTATACCTAAAAGGTATATGTGTGCATTTGGAGAGCCACAAGTGCTCCAAAGATAGTAAGCGTTTCGCCAAGGTGAAACAACCAGGGTCTTTTTGGACATGGACTAGGGTTCACCCACCTTTGATGCTGAGTGCTGGTGTACGGTGGTGAAAAGGGCACTAGACAGGGGAAGAACACCTGTGTCTGGTTTTCTCCTAGCAGCCCTGAGACCCTGAGTGAGGCTTTTAGCAATTCTTCAGTTTCTTTATAAATAGGGATAACAAGGCCAAGCTTGTTTTTCTCAGTTTTTGAGGCCATTGAAAGCCTATGAGAAATCACCGAACAAAGCAGGATCTTATTATTCTCTAAATCCCCATAAGGCTAAGGCATCTACGCAATTCTCACCTTGCCTATTGTTGCTTTTTTCCTGTAGGTGCTGAAAGAGATCCCACTCAATCACTCCTGAATTTCCAGAAACATAGGCATTTGTCCATGTCAAAATTATCCACTCAACGGGCATCTCTTTGGCTCCACCCTCCAGTTTCAGAGTGCCCAAATGGCAAAAGGCAGGTGAGGTGATTATTAATTTCTGCAGGTAGGCAAGCTGAATCAGTGTCATCAGCATTCATTCAGCCAGCTCTCTGCTAATAGCAGTGAGTGACTGGCCCAGCCCATGGACCAGGCAGCCAGAGGAGCAAAGGAAAACATTCTAAGGTCCAGGATTCCCCAGGTCCCCACCTGATGTCTTAGTGCCAGACTCCAGCAGACCCTTTGGTTCTCTGAGGCTCAGGGTCAGCGTCTGTAGTGTCAGGATAATTCCCACAACATAGGGTTGCTGGGAAGATTAATTGGGTATACAGGGAAGGTACTGTGTTAAGCACACTGCAAACAGAAGCAACCCTTTCTTCTCTGTAGCCAGCTGGATTGCCAAATGCTCCTCCTCCACTCCTGGTCCTTCATGTTCCTCTAAAGAAGACCTCCCAGTTCTCTTCTGCCTTGTTCGTGACCCAAAAGAGGCCTTTTAATGGAAGTGTTCCTAGCAGACCTCCTCTTGGTCTTCTCCATCAATTACTAACTGTGACTCCTGCCGCTCCATAGGATAAATGGCGATATTGGGTGAATAGCTCAGATACGTTTATTGATCTGAATATCAGGGTGTTATCAAAGTCTACTGGATTGTATCACAGATTTAGGGCTCTAATTTAATGACATTTCTGAAAGAGCGAAATACCCACATCCCTGTCTCTCCCCGACAACTGGCAAAAACGGGGAACGCAGCTCTGAACACGATCAAATCAAGGGTGTCGACTCAGAGTGAGATCGTACAGCTTCAAAAGTAATGTCGATCTGCTCGCAACTTCACGCAAACCCAGCAGAGCCCCCAGCAGGACCCCCACGTACCCGCCTCTCAATCCGGAGTTCGGGACGGGGGAGCACCCCTACTCGGGTCCTTCCCGCCGGCCGCCCGGAAAGCCCGGAGCGCGGAAGCGGAGCGACCCTCGGCAGCCGCGGGACGGGCATGCTCAGTAGGCCCGCAGGTCTGGTTTCACTCGGAAGCCAGCCGCGGACCCCGCCCCCTCCCGCCCCGCACGGGCGCCCGGAGAAGCGGACATTTTATCCTTCTCTGCCATCCGCTCCCTCTTTCGTGTCCTTCGCCCCCTGTCTGAGTCCTTCCACCTCTCGCCCATCGGGGTCTGGTAGGGCCGGGAGTATGGATCTCCCCGGGGTGGTGGGAGGGGAGGGATCGATAAATCACTTTCCCCCTTGGGGGGCGTACGGGGGGTGGGTGGTGATTTGGGAGGACTCTACTGTGGCCTGAGGTTTGTGCCGTCGGGCCCGCGGAAGCCCCCCATTGCCGCGTTGCCCCCGCTCCCCGCCCCGCGAGGCGCGCGCAGCTGCGCCCCGGCCTGTCCTCACCTCACCCGCATTCTGCCCCTTCGGTATTTCTCAATGACCGGCGCTCGGAGGACACTTCCGATTGGGGAGGGAGTGGGTATCATTAGCGCTCGGTTTATCAGTTCCTTCCGGTCTGCCCTGAGCCCAGCCCTGCGCGCTGCTTGGCCGCGCCTCGGGCGCTCTGGTGCCTTTATTATTCTGTTTAAATAAGCAGTCCTGTGTGCCAGTGTGTGCCAAGTGAGTTTGTAGGCCAGCTGTCTCCCCCAAGACCCGCCGGCAGGAATGGAAACCCAAGCTTTCGCGTAATGAAGGGGATGATGCAAACTTAGAAGCTGACCCTGCGCCCGGGAATGATGCCCCCCCCACCCCCCCACCGCCCGGCGCGCGTTGTCCCAGTCGGGCATGAATGGCTGGAGCCAGATTGCATAATCGCCGAGGTATAAATAGCAGGCGGGCGGGCCGCTGACGCGCTCGCCGGTACCGTTATCGTGCAATACTTCATCCTCGATGCCGTGCCCTCCCAGGTCATTCTCCCTTTCAGCTGCAATGCTGGGATTTTAAATAGCAGAGATGAAAGGTCCCTGCCTCCCTCCTCCCTTGAGTTCATATATTATGAATGAAACTCCAAGCCTCGCTGCTTCCTGAGGTGCTCCACTTCAGGTAGGGGAGAGGCTCAATGTCAAGGCAGCGGTCCACCAAAATGTGTGGGTGTGCGCGCGCGTGTGCGCGCGCGCGTGGGGAGGGAGAGAAAGCAGGAAATGATTGACAGGGCTGGGAAACCTTGTCGAAAAAATGTAACCGCTTAGGGTTTGCCTCTGGAGTTTCAGTTTACAACTCCACAGGCCTCAGTCAATTTAAGAGCGGATTATGCAAAGGGTCTTTTCGGCTGTGGCTGCTAGCGCTCTCACCGTAGGCCGCCGCCTCTGTGGCAGTGCTGTTTGATTCCGAAGCGCTGGTTTCCTTTCCCATCTGAGGCAGCAAACATCCCCTACTGTAAGAGCCCTGGGGACCTTTGAGGTTCCTGAGAAAAGCTAGTGCAACCAGTTTAGCCATTCTCTAGTTCTAGAACTCTTCTTAGAAGCCTCAGCTATGTGCACAACTGAGGAAGTCTAAAAACTTATTCTTCCCAACTGTATTTCACAATATGCAGTCATTTAAAAAAATGAAAGTCTGCAGGGGTTCCCCCCCCCCTTCTCTTGAACACCAAGTTTCAACTTAATTTCTCAAAATAGAATGACCAGTTCTTCACACATGGATTTCTGGCGTGTGAAACGCATTGGTCAGCTCATTATTTTTCAATGCCCATTTCCCCAGTCTGCGTTTAAAGGGCCAGGTTCTCTATGGGGCAATAGGGATACGGATGTGAATGAACCCAGGGTCCTGCCCTCTCGGGGTTGGGTCAGGTGGGGCAACAGGCCTGTAAAGAAACCTTAGGGCAGTGGAGTAACTTCTCTAAAACATGGGGTAAGAAGAATAGAAAGCAGATCAGGGAAAGGAGGGCTGCCCAGAGGAAGAGGTATTTGAGCTGGGTCTTGAAGGAGGGCCAGAGTGTCGATAGATAACCGGAAATGGAGGAGTCTCCGGGATAGCCCAGTGAACACAAAAGCCCTGAGGCGTCAAACAGAGTGGGGAGGGGGGAACAGAAAGCTCTGGAGAAGGGTAGGAGCGGGGTCAGGGAGGCCACGCTAAAGGAGGTTAGACTATCTTAAAGTCATGGAACCTTTTGTAGGATTCACAGCTGATCTTTGTCCAGTCCCAGTTCATTGCAGTGTCCCCATAGTTACGCAAATGTGGGGCAAATGAGCATCCATTGTTCTGGAATTTAGGGTGTAAAACAAGATTCACAAACTGATAGCCCCTGGGCCAGATAAGGCCCCAGACAAGTTTTGTTTTGCCTGCTGTCTGTTTTTTAAAAAATCAATTTAACATTTTAAAATCAGAATGTTTCACATAAAAATCAAGATTTTTGGCTCCTCCTGAAAAAATTCCAAAGATGTGGTGGCTATGAGTGCCAGATTCCTGCTTGGTTAAGGATTGTTGCTGGGTGCTATGGCCCTGTCTGTCAGGCTTCTGGCTCTTGTAGGCATTTGAGTTTTTGACCTCTGGCATAAAAGAATCTTTTGTGACTAGATCCAGGCCCCTCTCTGAGACCCCAGGTAGGCAGAGCTTGTCACTGGGCACACAGTTTGCGTGAGGAGCCTGGGGCCTCTTGGAAGGAAAGACACCCATCCCCGATCTCCTGCCCCAAGACTCTGGACTCTAGTTAGGCCAGGCAGGTGGGATCAAAGTGGGCTCAGCCTCAGCCCAGGGACGGGGAGCAATGAGGCCCCTAAGATAACAACACATCCCAACTGAGGCTCTGTTTCCAGGACACTCAACTTAAGATAACGAGGCTCGCTGCCAGCAGGGCAGGTGGGGGTTGAAGGGATCAAGTGGAAAAATCACCAAATGGGATCATGTTTGTACCCCAATTTTGTGGAGCAGCTTAGACAAGTTACATAACTAAACATTTTAAGCAAAGAAGGCTAGACTCAGACTTTTTTTTTTTTCCAGCTTAAAAAACAGAAATTTATTTTCTCATAATTCTGGAGGCTGGAAGTCTGACATCAAGGCAGCCACGTTCGTTTCTTGTGAGCCCCTTGGCTTGTGGATGGTCATCCTCTCCCTGTGTCTTCACATGGTCTTCCCTCTGTATGTGTCAGACTTAGATTTTTAATAGATTACTCTAGGCATGGAAGATGGCTTGTAGGAAGCAAAGCAAAGACTGGTTAGGAAGAAATTTTCTTCTTCCATGACAGGAATAACAGTGCATGACAAAGCAGAGTGGCAATGGCCATGGAGAGGGAAAACCAATTCCAAGGACACAGATGGGGGTGAAGTGTCTTGGCTTTATGATCTGTTAGGTATGGGGACTAATGGAGAGGACTTGGGTAATTGGATGGACCTTAGTGCCTTTAACATGATTAGGGTAACAGGTGTGGAGGAGGAGGAGGGCATGGTCGCCGAAGATGGAGAGACGCAATAGACAACTGCTACCACTCAACTCTGGGACCCACAAAATAGATCAGGGATTGAGGAATACAGGGAAGCCAGAACAGGAAAGCAGAACCTAGAGACAGAGATGGAGAGCCAGTTCCCTGAGGACATCATTTGAGCAACTGGATTCTACCTTGCCTGAAGCTGGAGGATGATCGGGACCTTTAAGATTGAATTGGGCTTCTGTCACTTACAGCCAAAAACATTCCAACTACCAAAATAGAAAGCCACATTTTGGATAGTGAAAAAGTGAAAAGTAAAAGGGGAATTTTAGAATGTGTGTTTATAATTTAGCACAGGGTCCTCTGGGGTCAGTGCCAGGGAAATTCACGGAGATGCTGATTTAATAGAACAAACTTCTCCCAGGAAGTTAGTTGGTACGTTTTAGGAGTGTACTGAGCTCTCCTTTTTTTTTTTTGGTACCGAACTCTTTTTTTGGCCTCAACATCCCACTGTCACTACCTGAATTCACATCTCCCATTCCTTTCTCACTCTTAACATCAAGCCTCGTTTCTACTACCTTTAGCCCCAGCCCCTTTCTTCTGTAAAGACCATAACTGAGACAGGAAGCTTACTAATATAAGACAATCAGAGCTTTTAGAATTGGAAGAAAGTGAAAGATCGTGTGTTTATGATAACTGGCTCCAATAAACCAAACGTTTTACCCAAACTTTTTGGAATGGATAAAGAGAAAAGAGGAAAATAAAACTCAGTGAGATACGGTCCCTGTATCAGCCAGCTTTTGCTCTATAACAAACCACCACAACATTTTGTGGCTTCAAACAATAAATATTTTATTATTTATCATGAATCTCTAGTCTCTCAACCTGGGGGGTGTTCAGGCCTCGGCCAGCTGAGCAGGGTCTGGATGGTCCAGAATGGTCTCTCATGTATCTGCTGATTGGCGGGCTGATTAGTCTCGTAGGGCTGGAGCTGGACTAGCTCATCTCTGCTCCACATGATCGGTTATCCTCCAGCAGGCCAGCCCAGATTAGATCACGTGGTGGTAGTGGCAGGGTTCCCAGATCAACAAGAGAGGGCAAACTCCAAAGTGCATGCTTTTTTCAAGCCACTGCTTGCATCACATTTGTTAATATCCTATTAGCCAGAGAAGTCACATGGCCAACCCAGCGTCAAGAGTCAAAGAGCTGGGAAATAAACTCCTTGATGAGAAGAGTGGCAAAGTCACATGGCAAGGGGTATGCATATGAGGATGAGAGAGGAATTTGTAACCATTTTTACAATCTATCTCAGTCTCTCACCCAAATTTCACAATTAGAGAAGGTTATTTATAATAATAATATACATTGATCATATATATATGATAAGCATTATATATTTCCATATACAAATATATGATAAATATATTATAAATTTTACAAACATACTATAAGTATATAAATATATGTATCCTATATTTTTATATAAGTACATATTTATATATATAGGCATACCATTTATATATAGGAGTACTATTGATAGAATTAACTTCTACCTTTACAGTCACTATTTATGGCCAAGTAACTAAAACTGCTTAATGTTTAGTAGATTTGTGCATGCTATAAAACTCTTCTCAAAAATATAGTGAATAAAGAAAGAGACCTTATGAACTTCTTCGTATGCTTGACCTTTTTTCTCAGCCTGAATATCCTGTCTCTGACATGCCTTACTTCTTAAAATAGGTATATCCCTAAAGAGATCTGGGCAATTAAAATGTTTGTAAACAGAAGCATATATAAAAAACACTAGGGAAACTTAACTATTT